AAAATAGGGTACTTTTTAGTCTCATCAGTCATCACCAGGTTGATCCAACCCTGCCTAAGTGCCTCTTCTATTTTGATAACTCCCATTACAAATCACTAAAATCCATCAAAGGTTGCATAATCAACATGGTATGATCCGGACCCTTTAACGTCTTAATGAACAACCTCATCATCTCTTGTTTTGACATCGGGTATTGCAATCTATTTGCTATTTCACACCATTGATATGCATAATCCAAGCTTTCTCTTGAGTTCTATGTCATAGACTCAAGGTCTGCTCAATCAGGTGCTATCCATGTTGTAAGAAAACTGATTGATCAAGTGCTTGATCAGGTGTTGCTCGATCATCCCCTAAATTTGGAAACCAAGTTCTAGCATTCCCCGTAAGACTCTTTTGAAACATCTGAATGAGTAACTCCTCATTTGAGTCATATTGTAACATGTTACTACAAAAGATTTTCAAGTGAATTTGCTCTCTTTCGATCTCCTCCCCCTCTCTCTCTCCCTTAATCATCCATCGATCTCCTACCTGTTGGTTCCTTTTCCATTTAAGAAAAAGCAATTGTGACATTTGTCATTTGGGGTCCTGTCCTTAATTGATAGGTGGAGCTTACACTTAGAAGCTCGCCTCCTCACCTCAATCTCTTGTTCACTATTTCAAATCATCATCACTACTCAAAGATCAATGAACCTAGACAGAAGCTAGCCAAGATTCTCTGTTGCATCGTAGTTGTGAAAGCTAAAACCGATACAGGTTAGTTCCATTCTTGTTCTTTCTTCCTTAACATTTTACTTCGTTTTTATTTCTTTCTTTTTCTTTTTAGGTCGATAGATTAAATGGGATCTGAAGGGAGTTGTAGAAGCTAGTAATGAGTAATTAGTAAATGAATACAAAACAAGGTTCCATAAGAAAATGGTAAAATAATAAATAAATGATTAAAATAAAAATATAATAATAATAATAACAAATAAAAAATAAAACATATAATAGAAAAAAAGAAGAAAAAAATATAAAAAATAATATGATGTAAAATAATAGTAAAGATATAAAATATAAATAATAAATAATAATGATAAAAATTATAATAAAAATAAAAAAATAATACATTTTGAAATTTATAGTGTGAATTCTCTTTTGTGTTGGTTTATTCTACTTTCTTTGTTATTAATATGCCCTTAATTGATTATAAAATTGTGAATTCATGATTATGCTTGTTTGGGAATCCATGTGGGCCTCATTCACTAGACTTGAGGGAGGGGTGCCTAACCCCTTGCCTCTCCCATCCTTATCTTACCCAGATTGGTTTAGCTAGTATCTTGGGTTTGGAGCCACTATTAAACCAAACATGCTTTCCAATGTAGATCTTGAAGGCCCCATCACCTCCATTTCACTTAACTGATGGGTGGCAACTCTAAAATCAGCCCAAATGAGCCATTTTTTGTCGCTCACAGCAAGCTAATGCATAGTTCATGATCTCCTAGCGAGAGGAAATTGTGTAAAAATTATTAAATAGGAACATGCATTGAACTATTTGTTGTTGATCCTAGTTGTATACTTTGAACTATTTCGTAGAATGCTTGTTTATTTTTAATGTACTATTATGGTTATGTACGTGGACAAATTTGTTTTTATGTAGGGATAAATGGTTTTTAAGCATTTTCCAATCATGTATGCATATATGGAACTTCGCAAGGTTGAGACAGATGAAAATTGAGGGAGTTTTTTTTGTGTTGCCCAATGTGGGAAAACATGCACACTTTTTTTATTAGGTTAATGAATTGGTTGTAGACCTTGTGAGGGAGCTCAACTTGTTTAATCAACCCACTTCATGGCTTGTAGGAAACCCGAATATCACAACCGCTCTAGAAAGAGATGGCACTTGGATATCACATGCATCTCTTATATGCAATGTCCTCCAATTTGTTATAATCAACATAATTGTTATTATTGTCTCTTATACGCAATGTATGTAACCTATGAACAACTATGTTAACTTCCTCCTAGTTGAGAATTGAATGTATAGGAATTTTAATTTGGTGATGATATAATTTTTTATAACTTATATTTATTCATGATTTTTTATTATTTTATAACTTATTTTATGTTATAAAAAATAATATTTTTATATTTATAAAAATAATCATTTTTTATTATGTTTTATAATTTATTTTTTATTTTCTAATATGTTTTTCAAAGTGGTCTTAATTTTTAGTAATTATTAAATCTTTTTTACCTTTTTATGATATTGTTTCACTTTTTCTAAATATTTTTTCATTATGTCATCGAATTTATTATTATTTTCAATATTATCTTAATTTTAAGTTTTTTATAATTTTTATTTATATTACAGATTAAATATTTTATAATTTATTTATATTACAAAATGAATTGATTATTATTTTAATCTTTTAGAATTTATTTTAATTTTTTTATTTTTTTATAATTCTTATTTATATTAATTATTACATATTGTATTATTTATTAATTATTAAATATGTTATTACTTTTAAGATACGATTTTGCTAATTATTAAATATATTTTCATTGCTTTATAGAATTAATTAGTATTTTCAATATTATTTTATTATTTTATTTTTAATTATTTTTATAATTTTATAACATTTTAATTCTTTTAATATTATTTATTGTTTAACAATTTCTTGGATGATAATGTATGAAATAGTGCTAACTGAATTCAAAATTATCAAATAGTCTATTCTAGGGATAAAATAGTAAAATCAAGCAATTTCAGATGTTGAAGAATTGATCCAATACAAACAACCTTATCTATTTAGAGTCTCTAAAAATTTAAAAAGCATCTATGCTGATTTTCAAATTTCAGACACAAATAATATCTTTTTAACTTTTCAGCCTTCGTATTTCATATTTATCAAACGCCACCTTACTCTCATTTTATAGTTTCTACAAAGTCACTATGAAAACTTTCGAGTTTGTTTCAAGAAACTCTTTATACAGTCACAAATATGAATTAAGTGAATATTCACAATTGGTTAATAATTAATGACTTTGAACATTTAAATGATGTTTCTTGATCACATCAGATTATAAATGATGTTTCTTGATCACATCTGATTAAGTAATGATCATTGGATTAACTTTAAAACATATCAACTGTCATGATTTTGGCGTGGCAAGAGTGTCCCATTGAGTATTTATGTAAATTCGTGCAAGCTTCATTGCAGAAATTCATAGCCAAAACCACGGCGAGAATTGCATTTGCGAATCTGGTTTTGTAGTTGAAATTACATGCAAACTCACATCTGAGTCTGGTTTTGTAACCTGAATTTGCACCTCTATTTGTGGAATTTGCAAAATATATACTTCCTTTATATAGGACAAAGTATATAAAAGAGAAAAGGCAAAAGACAAAACAAAAAGAGTTTTAGGTGGAAAAGCTACTTAAAATTTGCAAAAGCCACTTTTGGAAGGAAAAAAAGGTTCATGTGTCCATAAATACAACTATATAATTCAACCCTAACCCAATCCAATCCAACCCTAATTTTCAGGACTGAATTCGGGTTGGGTTCGGGTTCATCCGGTCCAAGTTGTCACAACTCACAACTAGCTAATGCATGCAGTTGTTTGGAGCTCCCATTTAGCGTTTGTTGGCCAGACGGACCTGGCAATTGGGTTGGGTGGGTTGGGTCAAAACACTTCGGGTTTATTTTAGGTCAGGTTGAATTTCGGATTGGATTATCAAATGCTAGACCCTAATCCTAAATGTTCAGGTTAGGATTGACCCATGGGTCGATTCAGGTCATCCCAAAAAATAACTGAAATTAAAAAATAAAATAAAGAAAAAACTACATGAAAAATGCCAAAATTAAAGGAATTAACCTTAAAATTCTAAATATAAAATAAAAAACCTGAACATTTAACAATTTAAAGAGTAAACAATAAAGAGAAAGACTAAATAAAAAAATTAAAGAATGGAAACTTCTAACAATGCATAAATAGTCCCAATTAGACTTGACAATCGGATCAGCAAGTTGACCCATGACCCAACCCAACCCAACTCAATTTTTTCTAGATTAGTTCGGATCAAGTCATTTTCATATTCGGATAGCTAAATATGAAACCCTAACCCTATTTTTTTGAATTAGATTGGATCGGGTTCGCGGACTGAGTCAACTTTTTGCCGGATATACCTAGACCTACAAAGAATTTAAGTTATATACGTAAATCATAAACCACAGAAGTAAATCAGAATAGGGTTAGATGGGACCCACCATTTATTGCCAAGCACTCTGGTCTGGGGCGAAAATAGTGGAATCAGAATGTTTTGAGCCATGATGGTTATGGCCCAGTGGGCTGGCAATTGTGATATCGGTGGTCCATATTTTGTATGTCCAGACAATAACAAACCTACTACCATTGGAAGGTCCCAGCAATCAACGGTGGGCCCTGGTTCTTTCAATACCCATTCATTCGGTATGTGGCTTCCATTGAACGAGGTTCTTTCCAGATGCCACGTCAGATCAGATGGCACGGTTTTCAACTTTTTTTTATATGTTGGTGAGGTGACACGTGTCAACTCTCAACCTTCGGATGGATTCCCTAGACGATGCCTCCTCACATCTCATCCATGCATTGAGAACATCTACCATGATTGTTATAGAAAGAGATATATGTTATCAACAAAATGTGCTCCTGATATTGTCCCAACTGGAGATGTTCCCAATGTACGGCTGCAGTTGGCAGCTCCTGATATATTGGCAGCGTATAGTTCACAAATCACAAATCACGGAGAGGATAGGCTGTGGAAAACCAACGGAACGGAGGTGGAAAATTCAAAAATGGAGAGCCTGAATTTTCTATTGGTGCTCTCTGTTTCTACCCCAAAAAATATAAGATGATGATCAGATCAGACTAAACAAGATTACAGATTCAGGTATTAATTAATTTAAGATTAATCCATCATATATTATTAATATTTTTGACGGATAATCTTTAAATTAATAGAGGATCCTTCTAGAAATCAATTAATTGAGAGGCTAATTGAATTGTTCTCCAGAATCCAGGCTCCTTCCTTGCTTGGCAGACTAAAGTTTGAAGTATACGCGCGTAGCCTTTCTTGTAGTGTTGTTGCGTAGTGGTCCGTCACTCTTTTCCGTTCTACTGGCTCATTCACAAAATACGTCTATAAATAGGACTCCGTGTTTCGCTTCCCCACCTCGATCAATGTTTTCTTTCTATCTATTTATCGTCCAACAGAGAGAGAGAGAGAGAGTGGTGGTGAATCTGGTGATGGAGATATCTGGTGCTTCTTCTCCATTATTGTTATTGATTAATGTGCTCATCATCTTCCTCTGCTTTTTGGTTTCTGTTTCTGCTGCGTCGAGATTGACAGAGGCGGAATCCCAAGATGTGAAGCGTAGGACTCTGCTCGCCAATGGACTCGGCAAGACCCCTCCCATGGGGTAACTATCGACTTCTCTCTCTCTCTGATATCCTCCATCCTTCTTGTTCTTGTTCATGTCTGCTGCCTCTTTATCTCTGCTGCAGTCTAACTCTAACTGATGGGTCCATTCTAGTGAAGAAACAAATAACACCATCAATTGTTTCTTTGTATACATGTGTGTTTTAGGTTGGCTAATGGCTGGTTTTTTTCTAACTACTTTCAGTCCACGTTCACTGCAATCTCTCCTTCACTTCCGTGTGTTTTGAGACTCTGACGTCTTGTTTCTTCTCTGTTCAGGTGGAATAGCTGGAATCACTTCAACTGCAAGATAGACGAGAAGATTATCAGAGAAACAGGTGAGTGTAAACTTAAGTCTGTGAAGCCCCTCAAATAATTGAGGACATGGATCGGGTCGGATCCATATCCGAGTATAACAGCAACCCTAGTGCTAGTGGTAGGTAGATAAGATTAATGGCAGAAACCCCAGCTGGGCCCCACTTTTTATTCTGTTCTGTGGAGTCAAACTCTGTCTGCATTGGAATTTAGAATATCCATGGCTTCACAATTTTATTTTATGTTTAATGCTATTTAATATGTCTTGAGAATAAAATAAAAAAAGGGAAATTGTCTAAAATTCAACATGAGTTTTCAACATTTCTCTTAAATTCATCTATTTATTTTTCAAAACTCATCTTCCTTTTGATGCATGGATAATGCTTCTTAACAGAGGTGTCCATGTCAGCATAAATAACAATTTTTATGACCAAATTACCCTTAAATGGTGAGTTAGAGGAAAAATGGTCTTTTTTTTTGCATTTTTAGTGTTTTGTTATAATTTCCAATGTTTTTTATAATTTCTGTTTATTTTCTACAATCTATAAATTTTCCTGTATTTTTGTTATTTATTTACAATTTCTGTGTTTTTTATAATTTTTGGTGTTTTTCCTACAATTTTTATTTTCTGATTTTTTTCAATTTCTATAGTTTCTATAATTTGAAAATAATTTTTATTTTGTTTGCAATTTTTTATATTTTTTTAATTTCTATATTTTTATGTATTTTATATTTGAAAATATTTTTTTGAACTTTTTCCTTTTTTCGTGTCTAAATATTAAAATGGTAATATATTAACACCTACGAATTTATTTTGTATATATTTATATTTTTCTATGAAGGTTAAAATGGTAATATATTAACACCCGTTAGTCTCTTTAACATCAAGTTAGTGACATGGTGAGTTTTAGACATTTTGAAAAATTGTGATGAGTTTAAGAGAAATGCTGAAACTTGTGATGAGTTTTAGACAATTTCCATAAAAAAAAAAAAGCAGAAGAAACAAACTTTCCTCTTATAATTCAGCCTGAAATGAGTTCATTTTCTCATTGTTGACACCTCTTACCAACTTTTTGATTTAACAGCTGATGCTCTGGTGTCAACTGGGCTTGCCAAGCTTGGCTATAAGTATGTTAATATAGGTATCTTTTGTTGGAATCTCTCTCTCTCTCTCTCTGAAATGACAGTTAAATTATTGATACTTAGCTAAATGTGATTTATTGTCGTACTAGATGACTGCTGGGCTGAGATCTCTCGCGATGACAAGGTTTGTTATTAAATTCTTTTTCTCTCTCTCATCTTTCTTTTCCATTTTAATGCGTTATAAAATTTATGTACACAAGGAAAATTTGGTCACTAATTAAATATGAAATGGTAGTCCAGTTTTACATTTAATTAAAATTTATTAACAATTATGTTGTCTACAAAAAACAAGAAAACATATTTTCAGTTTCATCAACCCCAACCTTGGTTTTTCTTTTAACTAATAACAGTGTTGGCATATTAATAGATTAAACAGAATATTAAATGCTGGTTCATTATATTTCATGAATATGAATATTGAATAAGAAAGTTGGTGTTTGGAATTTCAGGGAAATCTAGTGCCCAAGAAGTCGACCTTTCCATCAGGGATTAAAGCTCTGGCTGACTATGTTCACAGCAAGGGACTTATGCTAGGAATCTACTCAGATGCAGGGTAAGTAACAGTATTTTATCTGTATTCTTGACATTGCCCCATGGTTACAAGTATAAAGATTCTCTAAACATTATAATATTTAATCTTGTGCAACTCCTGAAATATCCATCTCTTACATACTGTTATCTGGCCTTTCATTCTCTTTGTTCTCTTATCTTGTTTGCATTATAAAAAAGGACACTGGGACTTACATTTCTTCTGTTTTTTTCTTTAATTTGTCAAGGTACTTCACCTGTAGCAAAATGATGCCAGGTTCACTTGGTCATGAAGAACAAGATGCCAAAACCTTTGCCTCATGGGTATATAGCTTGTTCTATGCAACAAATAGTTTGAAATATCCTATTCAGAACCATTAGGGGCTCCAATAATGAACTGCCAATTTGGTTTTGTGCTTTAGGGTATTGATTATTTGAAGTATGATAATTGCAATAATGATGGTTCAAAGCCAACCATTAGGTAATTATTCCTAGTTATCTTCACTGCTTTATTAGAACAACTTGAACTTCAGTAGCTCCACTTTGAGGCCACTCATTACAATGGAGTCTCTTCATTTTTCATATAGGTACCCTGTAATGACCCGAGCTCTGATGAAGACCGGCCGCCCAATCTTCTTCTCTCTATGTGAATGGAAAGCCTCTTTCTCATTATAATATTCATCTAATAACTTCTATTTCCTATCTTCTTTTGTGTTGATGTTTTTATTCTTTCCTCTTTGCTGATGTAGGGGGGATCTACACCCAGCTCTCTGGGGTGCTAACGTAGGGAATAGCTGGAGAACTACCAATGATATTGCAGATAATTGGGATAGGTAAAGGCATTTTCTTTCTTTTCGAGCATTTTCTTTCAATTATCACTACCCCAAATATCTTGATTAAAAATTGGTTTCTACTTGTTTTCTGGCAATAGCATGGTGTCTAGAGCTGACATGAATGAAGTCTATGCTGATCTTGCAAGGCCTGGTGGTTGGAATGGTTAGTATTGGTCCAATGTTTACAATACAATGCAAATACTCAAGAATCACTATATCTATGGGAGTTTTGTGATTGATTAGATGATACCCATATAAAGATTGTAAACAGGGGTGGAGCCAGGATTTTTCTTGAGAAGGGCCAAAAACTAGTTAACAGTAAATTTATAATGACTAAAATAGAGATGACCTTGATCTCAGAATCCAGTCATCTGTTGTGTGAGCAGATCCAGACATGCTTGAGGTAGGAAATGGGGGGATGACTAAAGATGAATACATTGCCCACTTTAGCATATGGTCCATTTCTAAGGTAACAAAAGGCTATCTTCCATGTGTTTCTGTGCCTATGCTTGGTTGGTTTGATATACGTATCAATAATAATGACCATGCAGGCTCCTCTTCTTATTGGATGTGATGTGAGAAATGCAACCAAAGAAACTATGGAGATCATCTCAAATAAGGAGGTTATTGCAGTTAACCAGGGCAAGTATCTTCTATTAGAATCAGATTTATTACAAAACATTTTGATCTGCATACATTCAGTATTCTAACTTGTATTGTGAATGTCAAATAGATCCACTTGGTGTTCAGGCAAAAAAAGTTAGAATGGAGGGAGATCTAGAGGTACATCAAGGACAATCTACTATAATATCTGTGGCTTTTGGTGAATATAATTAGGAAAATGATCGATGTATCTCTCCTGCTGCAGGTTTGGTCTGGACCTCTTTCTGGTTATAGGACTGTTGTCCTCCTATTCAACCGAGGTTCATCACGTAATCCTATTACTGCTAACTGGGATGACATAGGCATCCCACCACACAGCCTGGTTAAGGCAAGAGATCTTTGGGAGGTAATTACAGATTGTGAACCCTTGATATGTCTTCACTTTGAACATTAATACATCCCTTTCAGTTATGTATTGTGGGTATCTACTTAAGATTCCTTATACCTGCAATTCTCATGCAGCACAAGACTCTGAAGACACGATTCGCGGGTAATTTGACAGCCACTGTGGATTCTCATGCATGCAAGATGTATGTGTTGACACCAATTTCTTGAGTACCCTTCACAGGGGGAATATCAGTGATGAGGTTATTCCCTAGTTACCTGATGTAAAAAAATGATGATTGAAGAGTCTCCCTATTGATTTGATAATGCAGAAAGTGATGGAACTATCCTCTTTATTATATTTAGCTTCCTTAGTTTCTTCCTACTGATGGATATGAAGGGTTGCAATTCCCTATTAACAATGAACATCTAGATGGCTTGCAGTTCAAAGTTTGTATTGGTTTCCCTTCCTTTACCTACCTTTTCCTTCAAACCAAACGCAATCTTAGGGTGCTTTTATCCAGTTGAAACATCAAAAATACTGGCAATGAAAAGGCTACATTACCAAGCACATGCCACTCACAACTTATGGAAACATGATAATGGGTTTGACTGAAACAAGAAATAGAGAAACATGATAGAAAAAATACAAATCATAAGATTACAAGATTTACATGGTTCAACAAAACAAACTGCCTACACCCTCAAGTAGATACAGAAAACCCACTACTATGAAATAGGGGTTTATAATGAAAACACAAACCAAAATGAGCTAAAGAGCAACCTGGAGAAACACCATTTTGACCTATATTTAAAATCTTAAACAAGACTCAAACTTATACTTCTGGAAATGAACCCAAAAGAATACTCAAAAATTGGTTCCCAAAAGTTACCTATTTACCTCGGTAAAATTCTATGCTGATTACCAATTAGCAGGATCCCCAATAGGGATGTAGCTTCAGAGTTTGCAAGTATAGTCCGCGGTATTGTATTTGCGTGGGGATTCTGTATTTACATGCTTGAAGATGCATTCCAATTGGGGATCCAACAATGGATCCTTCTAAGTAACCAGTAGCCAAGAGTGCTGTAAAATACCCAAATATTCCAATAAACCTGTGAAGCAAAACCATCGAACTTGAATTGGTTTCCAAAATGGAAACTGCTCCTTAAATACAACTTTGTTTTTTTTTTCTTTGACTTCTTATTCAGTCATAACACAAAATTGTCCAGCTTGGCTTGAATTTTCCAAGCCAACAAAAACTAATTCATACTTCATAGCTATAATCATGCTTTGATCTTCTTAAAGGAAACAGACTTTCACTTTATTTTTTTTCTTTTTTTTTTTGAAGTGCCACTGCATCAATTCAATTATCTCAGATCAGAAGTATCAGAAAAGGGATAAACACATCAGGACAAAGAGACCAAGTATATGGTCTATTACAAGATAACGCCCAACGCGCTAAGCAATGAGCCACTTTGTTAGCAGTCCTCCTAACTAAAGATATCGAGATAGAAGAAAGGCATGAATAATAGCTTCTGCAGTCATCAATTATAGAGCTGATTTTTCACGGTGGTTGTACTGTGTCCACCAACAGAAGCTGAACTATAACTGAAGCATCGCCTTCTATAAGCACTTGGTGAAGATTTAATTCCATTGCAAACTCCAATCCATAGAGGCCTGAGCTTCCGCTTCAAGAGATGTGCATGGAAACAGGGGAATTGTTCGTGAAAATAAGTGAGAACCATTATGGTCACGGAGCACAATACCAACACCAGCAGCCTCAGTGCTAATAGCTCCATCTACATTAATTTTTATGCAATTCTGGGGAGGTTTAATCCATCGACTTGAGACATTTTAAAGCAGCTGCCGTTCAACCAGTGGAGGAGATTATTTTCAGCTTGACTGAAGTATAAAGTTGATATAGGCTTGCACTCTATGAAGAACTGACAGGGGACTAAACGGTTGATGTTCAAATACCTTCTTGTTCCGATGCCACCAAATGAACCACATCAATACAACAACACTCAAGAGGACATGTCTTTCTTGCAGGGTTTGGTCCATTTTCCACCAATCAGTTAACCTCTGGGCTACACTTTTACTTAAATCACAGTCCATACACAAACATAGAGAGAGTGGAACCAAACCAGATTGGCATAACAACAGGGAAATAGAACAATACATATTCCAAGCTCTCCTCATGTTCTCCACAAAGAGGACACTCCATCTCATCTAGAATTGGGAACACACCAAAAATATCCTGACAACAGATAATGCTAAGATGACACCAAAAATAATAGGCAAGGGAACACACAATTTTTAACGTGGAAAACCTCCTCAATGTAAGGAGTAAAAACCACGGGACCTAGTCCAGTAAAATCTCCACTATAAAGATATAATAAGTACAGCAAAGTGTCTCCAAACAAAAGGATTCACCACAAGCCCCTACTCACAATCAACTAGTGGAAATCACCAAAAACAGTCCAAATAACCCACAATAGGGTACAAACAGGCCAACCAAAAGAGGCGAAGAAACAAAAATCTGACCGTCCAGATTAAAGCCCACGATGTCAAGAACGATATACTGAAAAATCATCAAAAACGGAGCACAAATGATTACCCATTTTGATGAAGACAGTGAGCAGAAATCTTCTCTCATTGAAGGTTGAAGACGCGACTGGCTTCGTTGGCTACTGCCTGTGGCGGCCGGCGGTGACTGTTACTGGAGCGATGGAGATGGAGGCGACAATCGGTGGTGGTAGAAAGTTCGAAGTTCGAACAATGGAGGAGGCGAGAGGTTCCATGTTCCGTTCGCAAAAAGAAAACCGATGACAGTCCCCTTTCCAAAATTTTTTTCCCTTTTTCTGAGTTTGGCGGTTTCGTCGATAGAGAGAAACTCCCCTTCCGACTTAAGTGGAGGCAAATGCCAAACCAGCAATCAAATGACAAACTTCAAACTTTCCTCTCGGCTGAGTCTTTGTCAACATGTCTGAACCATTATCATCTGTATGAATCTTTTCAAGTTCTATCAACTTAGAATCCAAAACATCCCGTATCTAATGATACAGCACATCAATATGTTTAGATCTACCGTGAAAAGTAGGATTCCTGCCAAGATGGATAGCACCCTGACTATCACAATATAAGACATACCTCTGTTGAGTGAAACCAAGTTCATGCACAAACTTTTTCATCCACAGCAACTCTTTGCATGCTTCAATAATAGCAATGAACTCAGCCTCAGTCGTAGACAATGCAACACACTTCTGCAACCTAAACTGCCAGGCCACAACTCCCCCTGCAAAGGTAATCAAATAGCCATGTTTGAATCTGTATAACTGCAAAGAATAGGTTTCCCAATTCCAAAACAGAGCTTTAAACTAAAAGTACCCCGAAGATATCTCAATATCCACTTCACAGCAATCCAATGTTCTCTACCTGGATTTGATAGAAAACGACTAACAACACCAACTACATGAGCTATATCAGGCCTTGTGCAAACCATTGCATACATTAAAATTCCTACTGTAGATGCATAAGGAATACGTTGCATGTCTTCTTTTTCTTTATCACTAGAAGGAGCTTGTCTAGTACTAAGCTTAAAGTGTAAAGCAAGAGGTGTACTTACCACTTTAGCTTTATCCATATGAAACCGCTGAAGTATTTTCTCAATATACTTCTCTTGAGATAACCACAACTTCTTGGTCTCTCTGTCATGAGTAATCTGCATGCCAAGTATATGTCTTGCTGGTCCCAAGTCTTTCATTGCAAAAGACTTACTAAGCTCCTTTTTCAACCTGTCAATTCTAGAACAATTATGACCAACAATCAACATGTCATCAACATAGAGCAATAAAATGATGAAGTCATTATCAGAAAACTTCTGCACAAAAATACAATGATCTGAGGTAGTCTTCTTGAATCCCTGCTAGATCAAAACAGACTCAAACTTCTTGTACCATTGCCTCGGGGCTTGTTTTAACCCATATAGACTTTTCTGCAATCTACAGACATAGTCTTCTTTGCCCTTCACCACGAAACCTTCTGGTTGCTCCATGTAATTTTTTTCCTCCAAATCACCGTGAAGGAAAGCAGTTTTTACATCCATCTACTCAACCTCTAATTGAAGACTGGCTGTCAAACCAAGAACGACTCGGATAAAAGACATTTTGATAATAGGCAAGAAAATCTCCTCAAACTCAATTCCCTTTCTCTGACAGTAGCCTTTGACAACTAATATAGCTTTGTATCATGGATTAGAAATCATGGATTAGAAGTATTCTCCTAAGTCTTTAACCGGTAAACCCATCGATTTTGCAAAGCTTTCTTGTCCTTAAGCATCTTGACCGGCTCAAAAGTATGGTTGTCAACCAAAGATTTCATCTCATCATTCATAGCGGCAATCCATTCTTCCTTATGCTCAGACTCCATAGCCTCTTTGTAGCATTCAGGTTCTCCCCCATCTGTGAGAAGCACATATTCATTAGACAAATAGCGAGTAGAGGGAATATGTTATCTAGAAGACCTTCTAAGTGGGGCAATAGGTTCACCAATAGCACCACTGGCAGAATCATCAACATCATCAGCAACATCACCATCATTATCCTCAACCAAATCATCATGAATATGATTCTGGCCATCATCACGATTACTAAACTCAGCTACACTAGGCATATATGTCTCAGAAAATAGGTTAAGATCAACCAATCCATTAGTACTGAAAGACTCTGATTTCTCTGCCTTATCAATATCCTTAATGGTTTGACCCTCTATAAAAATTACATCACGACTTCTTACAAGTTTCTTTTCAACTGGATCGTACAATCTATAGCCAAATTCATCATGACCATAGTCAATGAAGATACACTGTCTTGTCTTAACATCTAACTTGGACCTTTCATCTTTTGGCACATGCACAAGTGCTTTACAGCCAAAGACATGTAAGTGGTCATAGGACACATCTTTTTTGTACCACACCCTATCAGGAACATCAGTCTGCAAAGCAACAACAGGAGATAAATTAATAACATGTGCAGCAGTATATAAAGCCTCACCCCAAAAAGATCCAGACAACTTTGCTTCTAAAAGCAAACATCTAACTCTCTCCATCAATGTCCTGTTCATCCTCTCTGCCAGGCCATTAAGCTGAGGAGTCTTAGGGGGCGTCTTCTGGTGTATAATGCCCTGCTGCCTGTAGTATTCATCAAACGGTCCACAATATTCACCACCATTATCAGTGCGAATACATTTCAGTTTCTTCTCTGTTTCCCTCTCAATAGAAGCCTGAAACTGCTTAAAGACACTAAGTACCTGGTCTTTACTCTTCAAGACATAAACCCAAAGCTTCCTTGAATGATCATCAATAAAAGTAACAAAATAAAGTGCACCACCAAACATTTTTGTCTTCATCGGACCACAGAGATCTGAATGAAC